GTCGGTTCGACTGCCCATCTCATTCCCGGCCAGCGTTAAGGAACAAACTTTCGTCGTCACTCACAAGTTGTCGTGGGACATGATACTCGGGCTAGATTTCCTTGCTGCACATAACTGCTGTATCATGGTCAAAGATCGCATAATTTCCTTAGGGCATAGGTCAGAGCCTAACAACCCGCCAGGCACCGAGTTTGACGAGGAAGCCACCTGCGCGGCCATCGCAGCATCAGCTGCCTTACCACCCACAAGCGTAGACACGGTCTTACCCCCAGACGATACAGTCGCCCTCACAGAGAAGGAAGAATTAAGGTCACTCCTGACTGCGTTTAGCGATGTTTTCGCATGGGACGATACCTCCTTAGGTCGCACAGCTGTCATTTGTCACAGCATTGACACAGGAACGTCGAAGCCGCTGTGGCAACCACCACGCCGTATTCCACCACACTTTCAGAAGGAGGTGAACGACCTAATTCAAACGATGCTGACCACAGGGATAATCCGCCCCTCCAGATCCCCATGGGCATCGCCAGTGACATTAGTGCCAAAAAAAGACGGCAGACTCCGATTTTGTATAGACTATCGGCGACTAAATGCGGTCACCACCCGCGATTCTTTTCCACTGCCAAGAATTGATGTCACACTTGAAGCGCTGGCCGGAGCCCAATGGTTCTCAACGTTAGACCTTAAGTCCGGTTACTGGCAAGTGGAAGTGGAACCTAGCGACCGCCCCAAAACAGCGTTCATATTAACACAAGGACTCTTTGAATTCGAAACCATGCCGTTCGGGCTATGCAACGCCGCCGCAACTTTTCAACGACTGATGCAGTCCGTGCTGGCCCACTTATACCCCCACAGCTGTTTGATATACCTTGACGACGTGATCGTGTTTGGACGCACGGCCCGGCAACATAACGCTAACCTCGCCGCGGTACTCTCTGCTCTCCGAGATGCCGGCTTGCGTTTAAACCCACAGAAGTGCAAGTTTCTGTGCCAGAAAGTGACCTTTCTTGGTCACGAAGTCAGCCCGAATGGCATACAGGCGTCACAGGAAAAAGTAGAGGCAGTCAGATCATGGCCTACGCCGAAGACCCCAACAGAAGTCAGAGGCTTTATCGGCCTAGCCTCCTACTATCGGCGCTTCATCCTTCACTTTGCGGAGCTCGCACGCCCACTCCATCGGCTGACCGAAAAGGGTCGGCCATTCTCGTGGACCGAAGATTGCCAACAGGCCTTCGATGAGTTAAAAGCAAAACTCACATCGGCACCGATATTAATGCTGCCTGACACGCGTACGGAGGCCCCGCCCTTCATTCTCGACAGCGACGCCAGCGGGTTCGCGATCGGGGGCGTACTCTCACAAGCCGACGAGACAGGGACCGAACGACCGATTTGCTTTGCGAGCAAAACCCTGTCGAAACCCGAGCGAAACTACTGCACCTACCGACGAGAATTGTTGGCGCTGATTACGTTCATCAAACAATTCAAGCCATTGTTAGTGGGCAAACATTTCATTGTCCGCACCGACCATAAGGCCTTGCAGTGGTTACAAAATATGAAAGAAGCTGAGGGCCAGCTTGTAGACCTGTGAGTACGGGTTGCAAAAGACCTCCTGGGCATCTCGGGGCAAAAAACCTCACTGTCAATCAGTTTTTATG